CCACCATTTTTACTAAATTAGATTTGCGTAACGCATACCATTTGGTATGCATAAAGGAGGGCGACAAATGGAAGACGGCCTTCTGAACCCCTTTGGGTCATTTCGAATATCTCGTCATGCCGTTTGGTCTCATTAACGCTCCTGCAGTCTTCCAGGCGCTAGTAAACGATGTACTCAGAGACTTTTTAGGGGACTTCATTTTTGTATATCTTGACGATATCTTAATCTACTCTCGTGACAAGGAGGAACACATCAAAAAGGTCAGAACGGTCCTTAAGCGGTTATACGAGAATCAATTATTCATCAAAGGCGAGAAGTGTGAGTTCCATGCCTCATCAGTTTCCTTTCTGGGGTTTATTTTCGGAGAAGGACATTATCGTACCGACCCTAAGAAAATTAAAGCAGTAGTCGAATGGCCCATTCCTGAGACTCGTAAACAGCTTCAACGTTTTCTAGGTTTTGCAAACTTTTACTGACACGTCATCAGGGACTACAGCCGTATTGCTGCACCACTCTCTCCACTTACCTTCGTTAACAGAGCCTTCAAATGGACTACAGATGCAGACACTGCCTTTAACAAATTGAAACAACTCTTCTCAACCTCTCCCATCCTCTGCCATCCTGAACCCGAACGCCAGTTCATCCTGGAGGTGGACGCCTCCGATACTGGGGTAGGTGCTGTCCTATCTCAGAGATCCCCCAGAGACAATAAGGTACACCCCTGTGCCTTCTTTTCTCGGCGCCTGTCTCAAGCCGAACGAAATTACGATGTAGGAAACCGTGAATTATTGGCCGTCAAACTAGCATTGGAAGAGTTGCGTCACTGGTTAGAGGGTACTGAGATTCCCTTCCTCATCTGGACCGACCACAAAAACCTGACCTATCTTAGGGCTGCTAAGAGATTAACCCCCAGACAGGCACGATGGTCTTTGTTTTTTAATCGTTTCCAATACATATTGACTTTTAGACCCGGCTCTAAGAATATCAAGCCGGATGCCCTGTCACGTCAATTCTCTCCTCCAGATGTTCCCTAGCCCAAGGAACATATCGTTCCCTCAACATGCATCGTGGGGGCTCTCACATGGCACATTGAGCAGGAGGTCCGCGATGCCCACAAGGAGGAGCCTGATCCCGGCCTGGGACCCCCCGGAACCCTGTTCGTCCCTTCTGTCATGAGGTCTAAGGTACTGGAGTGGGTTCATACTAACAAGCTTTCTTGTCACCCAGGAATTACACGCATGTGTCACAATCCTCAGTGTTGGAACCCAATTGCAGAGAGGCGAGCAAGGCAGGAGTTCAAAAATAAAAATAATTTATTCTTTTAATAACAAAACAAAAGGCTGTCGGTGCAGCAAAACTTACTTGG